CCAGTATCTCAGAAAACTATGAAGACACGCAGAGAATGGGCCGAAGCTCATCTCAATTGGACATATGAAGACTGGACGTCAGTTTTATGGACAGACGAAACTTGTGTCGAGGATGGAAGACATTCTAGAGAATGGGTGACAAGAAGTGTTCGTAAATTCCTCAATAAGAAGATGGTAATTTGATGCTCTAACATTATGAGCTAGACTTCCCAAGAACACAACGCTGATTGTGTTGGAGAAAAATCGAAGAATAGGGTCGAATGGATGTTCTGGGGTTGCTTCGCAGGGCCAGAAAAAGGCCCTTGTTTGTTTCGGGAGAAGGAATGGGGTTCCATTAACTCCCAAAAATATTGCGAGAAGATAATTCCTCTTATTGATGGCATGGTCTCGATGAGACCTTGGCTTTCCGTAATGCAGGATAATGCTCATGCCCGCACAGTCGCAATTACAATGGAAGATATGAGCCAGAGGCTCATTCAACCGATTTTCTGGCCGGCCAACTCGCCTGATCTTAACCCGATTGAAGCTGTTTGGAATAAGATGAAGGATTACATCCAGCGTCATCATCTGAATCTAGGTTGCGGAAAGCAGCGAACTGAAGATAGTCTTCGCAACATTGTAAAGGAGGCATGGGATTCCGTGTCTTCCGAAGACCTTGTGAGACTCATTCAGAGTATGCTAGCAAGATGTCAGGCTGTGGTAGATGCGGATGGAGGACCGACCAGATATTAAGGCCTGAAAATATTCCAGCTACATGTTCAGATCTAAGGATAGGATAAGACTGGCTCTATTTTATAATTTGAAAACCTTTGAACTCTTGAAAATAAGTTCTGAAGTCAAGTAGCAAATATGCACAAATGTTATGCAGCCGATCATTAGACAAATTAGGTTTAGTGCGAAGGAAAGACCCACTGCAAACTATGGTGTCCAGATAAAAACTGCCATGCAAACTTTTTCAAAAATTTGCAAAAATACGGGGGCTAGCTCCAATATGGAAGGTGACTATGCCTAAGGCGTCTCAGTTTACACGCTAAACCCCCTGCCCAAGCCCAACTACAAACTTGACACCGTGGCACCACGGTAGATGAGACATGGGGCACGGACGATCGCTCGGGATAAGGTGAGGCGATAAAGGAAGAGGGGTGTCCTAGACGTACCCACTCAAACGGCCCCTCTGATCGACGCTCCACACGCAATAATTTGTGGAGAAGGCTCCCCTAGATGCCGTAAACACATAGCAGAACGAATATTAAATGCCCGGCAGCCTTATCTTCCATCAATCTTTGAGGAAAATGTCAATACAGAGTCCATTTCAGTCATGTCCCGCGATACCAAAGAAGCTAGCCCACGAAGCAATGATTCAAGACTCCCCACCACACCAATCTTTCCCTTCCAACAATATTCATCCCGACAAAGCCTCTCCCAGTTTACAAGCACGTCTTGGTACATCCTAATCTCAATGACTACATCTCCCATCGCAAGTCTTAGGGCCCAATCAGCCTCCGAACATACGCCTTCAATAAAATGAATACTTGGAGGAAACTAATCGTTTTTTAGAGACATTTTGAGCGGTTCTTTTAAGGTGGACCTGAGATAATTCCGAAAAATAGGCAAAATAATAATTAGGATTGGTACAATTTTGAATAGAGTAAAATTTCGGTGTTTGAGAAAGTAGATTACTCGGAAAAGCATTGAGCGCCCTCTACTGTTTTTATTCAAACTTCCTGGGTCAATTTTAGCATATGTTTGGCCGGATAGTGCAGTGGTAGATGACCCAGGCAGGCTTTCCAAGTAGAGTCTTAATGGTTTGGATATCCATTTCACTCGAGACGGGAGTTTGCTACTTCAAATCCAGTGAGATACTGCCACATTAACAGCAGTTCTCTTGCACTAGCTGTGCAGGAAGTCCTGGAAAATTTAATACCTTGAAGTTTAATTGCAGTGAGTACTCAAACTGGTGGGATGAGTATTCAATGTTAAACCATACCCCACGCTGGTATATACGAATAAATTCCATGGGAGTGCCTTCGAAGTTAAATGAGTCATAACATGTACGTAAAGCATTAATCATGCGTGATAGCCATACACCTGGTCAGCCGTCAAATAAATGAGAGCAAAGTCTCTGATTTGAATGGCCATGGAGAAGCTAGGTAATGAATAAGCGAACGTACTTAACACGATTAAGATGCACACTCGCAAGTTATTTTGGATTACTAGGGCCTGTCGGGTGGGGGAGAGAAGGAAGCTGGAAATCTTTTGTGGTTTGGTCTTCAAATTTTCGAAAGTATTATAACGGCACACCTGACCATGATACTCTCCTATAACTTGGACGAAAGAATCGTAGAACTTTCCTCGCAGCCTGTATCAAGGGCCTGAGATGCCATGCCACAGTTCCATCTAGACCTACAGTAATGTCCGTGGGGTATTCGAAATATCTGAATGACCCACTTCAACGGGGCTGATAAAAGAAAGCTACCGGGGGGTGGCTTCATAACTTTTCCGGTGCTGATCACTGGCTTTCTCTAGCTCCCACCGTTGAGCCTGTAGAGCCGTGATTTCATCCCACACCGACCAATTAGAATTTTTTTAATAAATCTATGCCATATTTCATTACCCCAGACGGTACAAGGAAGTTAGGCCGAGCTCACTTGTAGTAGATAATCTCTGCTGAGCATTTTCGGTCATTTCAATACGACGAGCGGTGTGTCTCGAGATGTTAATGGAGTTTAAAAGTGGCTAAAAATGCAAAGAATAAGTTTCTTAGGCCCTCAACTCAATAGCTTCCAACTTAATGGCCTCTTCAAAAGCTTCAAAAGGTTAGCCATGTCTGCCACCTTTGTCCGGGTGTCGAGATTAGATTAGCGCCGTACCCAGCGGTTTTTGCGCTTTTCCTTGGCGGACACGCACCTGTAAAAAGCCGTCGCTTCGTTGGCTAGACAGGGAGATGATGAAGGGCACGTATTAATTCGAGTTGCATGATTGAAGACTTGGGAGGACAAGACTGAACACCTGTCAGTGGTGCTCTCTACAAACCTGGGAGTGAAATATTCTCCCAGAGCCAAGTTCAGTCAAATTTCGCAATATCAAAGAAGTTGGCCCACGAGGCAATAATTGAAAATACTCCATCATATCAAATTTCCACACCCAAAGAGTCCGATTCTCAACTAAGCTTCATCAAGTCTACAAGTACGACCTAGTACATCCTCGTTTCAATGAACACACCTCTCGTCGACTTTCTCTGGCCTCAGCCGGTCACCAAATACACGCCCACGCCGATATTTACACCCGACGGAGGAAGCAAAGCGTGGAGCACAATTTTGGGAGATAGCTCTTTGGGACGGACGTGAGAGGGATCAGGACAAGTTTACAAGATGATGCAGAAGAGGGATACATTCTCGACGGGCGTGAAATTTCGAATTTTGGCATGGAGTTTTACGAATTGAGCTTTGTGTGCGCCAAGACTTCGCTTGCGAGAGTGCAGCTGACACTATAAACACGAGCAAACGATGGAAGGTGTTGTGGTCCGCCTCCTGGTGGTGTTCTCTGGTATGGTTTGAGTAGCCTGGGCACCTACTCCACTTGGGAAGGAGACATCTCAGATTACATTTCGCGCGGAGAAAAGTTGATGGATGACAGAGGCATGTCTGGATAACTCAGGGTTTTTTAGACGTTCCCCTGGGTGGGTATTCACGGATGAGGGTTGACTTGGGGTGAAGAAAAAGCCACCATAACTTCGCAGTGGTACTTGCAAATGAAATCTGAGGCATGAGTGCTCCTATTATAAACTGAGTCATCTTTTCTGTACTTTTCTCTGATATTGTGTCATAGCTAGATAGCTGCATACGCCATTAAAATCTGATGCAAAAAAAAAAAAAAAAAAAAAGATTGAAGACTTGTGAGGGGCGTATTGTCGAAAGGGTGCTGTAAAGGGGTAATTTTAGACGATACACTATCCAAAGCATAAATATTCTTTGTCTGTGTGCAGAGAGAATCAGTACGGCATACAATCTCTTAGAATCGGAAAATAAAATATTTGATACATAAAGGAGAGCTCTAATTATGCTCAAATTTGCGGTATTGAACCCAATCATATACACCGTTTACCACATGGCTAATAAACTAAAGGATTGACGCCAAATCTTAATGAGTTTCTAAGAACATGAGGCAGACTGAATGAGGGAAAACGAATCAGATAACAATTGTTCTCCAATAGTTATGATGAGCAAATAAACATTTGGAAATTGTATCGTCTACACTACTTTAGAAGGCATTATACTAAATGAACAGAATGTATTTACTAGGAATTATTCTTTGATGTATCAAACTGGTAAAAATAATTGTGCAAACCAGGCTCATGAAAATAGAAGCCTGGGTTAGTCGTGAGCCACGTTACAGAATCAGTCATTTCAGGAAGATTCAAAAATCACAGCACTAATCAATAAACAGTGTGATAAAAATACTTGTTGAAGCGTCTTTTATGACAAAGGCCTCAATCTTAAATTGCCATTCTATTCAGAAAATCTGATTGACAATACCAAGATAATTCGTATAGCCTCGATCGAGTGGACCGAATGAGTGACTTACCCGGTCTTAAGTGCCTAGATATCAAGACATCACTTGACTCACATCCTTAATAATGTGTTTTCATCAGGGTATATCTTAGTCATCAAAGGCCTGTTTGCCTTAGAGTTTAGATTTCCAAAAGCACCGCAGGATATCTTCAAGTTTTATAGACAACAATAGTCCGGGTTGGTTCCTTTACAGTTGATATTTAAACGCTAGAACCTGAAGTAGTGTAGCTCCATCAAGTTGGCTTACATCAGCCAGACATATTGCTACATTAGACGATTCATAGTTATTATCTGGTGTTAAAATCTTGTCTTAGGTTGTTTTGTATCAGAATACTACTAACGATTATGATAAACTTTGTTTTCCTATTTTAAACAAAATTTGTTGAGCAAAATCTGGGGTATCGAAGCGCACCAATATTACTCTTATCCTCAAGTAGAGGGTAGAGTTGCGACTGACTGCGTCCTTGTCGTTATTCGGAAAGCATCCTTGAGTCTCTGAGCCAATGACACACTGCGGATTCTTTCCTCGGCGTCTTCAGTGGTGGACTGGCCAGCTTCAGCCCGTGAATGATGACGAAGCTGGCGTAAAGCAGCTATTCGCTCATCAGGTGGAGCATGGCGTAGACGGTTGCGGTCGAGGAATCGTGCGAGAGGGTAACGATGACGATTTGCTACGTCATAGTCAGATGAGTGACTATTATTCTCGATAGCTGACAATGGCGGTGGGAGTTCATAGCCTTCGGAGGCCCCCTCTGAGCTAGCCAAGGTAGTATTTGGACGAAGATCGTATCGACTAAAAATGATTAGCGCGACTCAGTCGTGTGGGGGGGTGGATATACCATAATGGACAAGTGCCGGAGACGTTAAGTAACCAAGGATCGATACATGCAGGGTGATACTGATGGTGACACGGTAAAACTCTCAAATCTTCTCCGATCAAAAAGTCTTCCGTGCAAATAGAACAACCCAAATTTTCTGCTTTGATGGGATAATTGCCCTGCTCGAGAGCTTTAGACGTTGGCACGAGGATTTCGGGTTTTTCCATCGCGTTTTCATTAGTTACATTAAAATCTTTTACATCGCGATTCCCAGCCTCAAGCTCAGTCTCCATTTTATCTGTTGTTGTGCCGCCATACTTGACAATAGGTATCGTATCTAAAATAGCCCGAGCTAATCCTTTTGCTCGGCTTTGACCTGGCATTCCAGTATTTCTCAGACCATATCTCTCAGGATGTCTATGTGCACGGATGGCTCCTGTAGCGATTATAATCAGGAATAATAGAGTAATTATACCAGTGATGCTGTACAAGATACTCATAGCTACCGCTGTGGTAGGTGCAGGACCCCCTTGAGTACTGACGTTATCTTTTGTAGCATCTGATGGTTCTGAAGTGTTGGAGCTTATCATCGCCTGTAGAAGAGCGGAATCTGAATTGAAAATTGTTACTAGTTCAAGGCTATCTCTTTTAGAGATCATCGAATATACTGACTGGTAGCCATTATCATTAGTATAGGTACAGGTCTCTTTATCTTTGCTGTATAGCACAATGGCTTGCGGCTTTTTATCGGCAGCGAAGACAAGTAAGTCTCCCGCAGCTTTTTGCTCATTTTCTGTGTCACAGCTGATGAAAGCCATATCAGAGTCGCTAATGTTATCCGCAGTACTGCGTACCAAATTGATGTTTCCTCGAATTTCAAAGGTCTGAGGGATTAGTTAGTTTTTTGAGAAGATTTAACCTCGAGTTTCTTACGGAGATGGCAACTGAGTTTTGGTGTTTTCCGGCCGCATAAGTTAGCGGAGCGACTGAGTATATTTTTTCATCATATAAAGTACTCTCATTTAAAAATAAGACAAATGTCTCTTCGGAATCTGGCACAGCCGAGGCGTCATCTGTGCTGGAAATTGACATGGCGGAAGTAATTATTGCGAAGGTGAAAAGCAGGTATAACGTTAACAGGCTGATATTGCTGCCAGCGCTAGGTGATTTGTAGCGGTGAGATGAGGCGAAAACAACGGTCGACGCTGCCATGATTGAATAGAAGTTTGGTAGACGAGGGAAACTGTAGAATGCTAAGAGAATATTGGCTGACGATAAACCAAATTATTAGGGAATTAGGGGGTCTAACTAAGGAATTAGTTTATTATGTTCTGGGTCATGACACAAAGAAGAATTAGAAAATTAATAGAAGAATAGTTTAGATTGGAGGTGGTGATGGTGAGGAGGTTGGTTATATCTTTGTTGGCTGGCTGAACTTTCCATTTCCAGATGAGTCAAGCAAGAAACCCCAAGACTGGGGAAGACGATCGAAAATGAGTGTCGGGGATAACGTGTTTGATAAATGGACGACTGATGGCAGGGGCAGTGCGGGCCGGGCGGGTCGGCTGGTCATGCCAAGGTGCAGGCGTCTCTTAGCGTCATTTACATTGCCCCTGGGGAGCTTCATATCTGATAGATGGCTACATTCAGATAGCCCACATTTATTGTGGCCATTGTCAGAGACTCGGGACGCGACTGGCAGTAGGAAGGATCAATGGGCGGATGAATGCGACAGAGGATGGGTCCGTCTATCCTCGCTAGTCGGTGACACGTCTCCACTCATAATGCCTCTCCCTGATATTTTCAGTTTCCCGCCGTCGGCTATGGCGTAGTCGGCAACTGCCTCGAGGGACAGGAAACTAGTTGTTGCCTGTCACTTCTCCACATGCATGGAATTTAAACTATATTCCTTCATTTCATCACAACAGACGACATAAAGGTGCTGCACATCCCATTCCAAAGCTACAGCCATGCATGATCTTGATATTATGGCTGTTGGTGGGGAGAGCTAGTGCAGAAGCTCCCATGATTTCAATGCAATGAACTTTAGTCTTCCTCGAGGCCTGGAAAAGTCTATGCTTCCCTCAGTCCAAATGTTTCCAGTACCGCCATGGTTTTGGCCTGGCGGAGCTTGTGTGGTCGGCAAATCGCCGCATGGTTTCATTGATGTTGCAGGTTGAGAGTGTCAAAGTGGGAGTAGTGGTGAGTCTTTGATTCGGGGATACAGCGACCAGCCACGAAAGACATCCAAGGCTACTGACGCGCACACTGCAACATCACCTGGTGGTGGAGACCCGACAGTCTGATATCGGGTGGTTATCGCAAGGTGCGAATAAGCGATTCAAATTTGTCGATCCGCAAACCATTGCCATTATACAATTCGCGTTTGCAATCACTCAATTGGGCACGGGCTCTGATGCACGGAATGCTCGCTTTCTCGCCTTTGCCCTAGCCGCGGCAGGACTCGGCAGCTCACCTACAGCTACAATCCCCCTCCTCCATGCACGGGGCCCTGAGACGAAGCTGGACAGCCAGTCAGCCTTGACTTTCTCGATAATTGTAGTGTTCACAATGCCTCTTCCCCGAATACCTGCCTTTTATGCGTATCATCCTCTGTAATCTGCCAAGTACTTTACGACACTAACATTACAAGCCTTTCTTTCGTATTCATACCATCTTGTTTTGCAGCCTTGCTCCATCATCTCTGCTGCCACTGATTACTTGCACTCGACGCCATCCCTAAACCATTTGTTTCAAAATATCTTGTCTATCTTCCACACAAATTCCAAGCTTTTCCTTCCAATAATATCGTCCATCAAACTTATCCCCTCACAAACAATCTGGAGTAAATTTTGTTGAATTTGCCTTGCCCGAGGGCGTCACATCTACTGTAGAGTCGCGATCGTAGAAGTTCCACTAAGCGTGTCGACCATGGATTTCATCGACCTATTCGCGGAACTGTAATTTAGGCGCTTGACGTTACGCAGTCAACAATGTGTGATATGTTTGCAAAGATACTATGCATAATTAAATGGATGATTGTACTGTTATGTTACTTGCTATATCGAAGTTCTGAGTAAGATGAATCGGTGGTATATTGACTGACCTTTTTTCCAAAGGAAAGTACCGGTAGCTTGAATACCTCTCCCTGGTGTGACAGAACATCTTTGCCTCGAATCTCGTAAGGCTCATCTACCTTACTCGCGGTTATGTTGTATAGCATGATGAAGGTATGCCTGCACGACCAAACACTTTGAAACTTTTTTCTGATTAGTGTTCATGGAATAGGTCGACTGTTCGGTGTAATCAAACGAAACCTTTGGAGCTATTCGCGAATGACGTATAGAGTGTAAGTGTCTAAAGTCAAAATAAATACTACAGAGTGGTAAGACACTGATTTTCTGTCTTACCTCGTTGTTTGCAAATAAATCAATTGACACAAAAATAAGGTGAAAATTTTCGCTCATGATTTGCGTAGGAAAACGACTACATACATGAAGTGGTTTGCGCATTTTCATACTATGCGGATAGTGAAATTAGAAGTACACTAATTTTTAAAAGTAAAAAAATGTTTAGGTGTAGTGCTACACGTTTAAGGCCCGCGTATCTACAGTGAGGCTAGCCTGATAGCCCAAATTACTCTGTATTCTACCGTCTCTATCACTAACTTGAATCTATCTACATAGTTGTGACACATAGCACATGACTAGTATCTCGTTTACAAGTTGTATGATTCTGCTGACTTGGACCATGCTCTCGCAGCGGACGACAAATCAACACCTGTCAGCGATGTCTCTTACGAACCTCCAGCTCTTATTATAGAGAATGTAGAGCCAAGATTGAGTAACTAAGTCTTCACTTCGATGAGGATTCCAAAACGCTCTCGTAGTCTGTATCGTCTTCGTCTCACGGCACATCCCCTATCACCACTATCATGAAGCTAATCGCTTTTAGGTCAGATGGTAGGATCGAAGCCCTTCCAATTATCCACCCTTTGTTACCGAGAAGAAGCTATTCGATGAGTTTCGGTAGCGTACCCAGCAAACCATAAGGCGATGGTAGATTGGATTAAGTTGGCCTCTAATCTCGCAAAGAGGAGCCCAGGAAGCTAGAAATTCATTGACTGAAGTAGCACAACGAAAAATCAAACTGATTTAGAATGATAATTGGATCTTAAATTAAGAGAGTTGTAGCTCTTGTATAGGTAGAACACACAGCTCTATTCTGCCTTTGTGTAGGACGGTTCCATCATCACGGCATTCTCTTGCAAACAACTAAACTAGACGTTTGCCATATCCAGGTACAGGAAGAATTACATTGCAGTCGCATCAAAAAGTTCAATGAATAGATATTAGAATTTAGGATATATTGTTTACGCTCCGCGCAACATTGAGTAGCAGAAGACCATCGAAAAATATAATTTAAATTTCGATTTCAATAACCTGATTTGGCGCCCTATTGGCCCATGCAGGTAGCTACAAACCTATCGATACATTTACATAGGAGGAAACCTTCTGGTGAAAACCTAACCAGCTTTCTGATTTGTTTCTTGAATTTTGCAATTTATTCTTCAGGAAGCACAATTACACTGTAGTGCCCTCTTTGTATACCAATCACTTCCCCTATATCGTCCCAACTTTATGCCGGTCCTGTCTCATCCTCCCAGGAGCATTTTGACTTCAATTTTCGCGTGGAATTGTTCTATACAACTTTCAAACAGATTAACCTAAATTTAAATAGAGTGTCACGATGTTTAAGTTGAGTAGTTTACAAGCGAGTATATGAGGTTGATGCATTAAGAGCAATAATTTATACATGCAAATGTTACAGCAACCATACAGATGGCCAATTACCTACGCATAAATCCCTTACTGTTTCATCCCTTCTATTGTCCATGATAATGTTACAACCGATTTTAGAACCATGTATGGAACGGAGATTTGACCAGTTCGCATGGACAATCTAATAGTCAGTCTATATTTGGAATTAGTAGAATACTCTTCAGATGTATATGGTACCTAGATAAATTCCTCATTGTGGAGGACGATCAATTCCATCAACTCTGAGAGATATTCAAATAAGTTTAACTTTGCCTAATACTAACCATGACTAGGAATCCATTCCGTAATTCCTTTTATGTCACCGGGATTGTTTATCATCGCTTCAAAGGTGCGTTTTCCGGCCTTTCCCATATCTTTCCTCTACCAATTGACCAATTAGGGCAGGACATGGTCATGTGCTTGGGATTTTGAGATTGGTAGCTACACGGAAAGCATGGATCGTGGACTCCTAGTGCTTTCCTTCAGGATAAATACAAATGAAGCCAGCTGAGTTCCCCTGGGTGGGTATTCACGGATGAGGGTTGACTTGGGGTGAAGAAAAAGCTACCATAACATCGCAGTGGTACTTGCAAATGAAAACCGAAGCATGAGCGTTCTACTTTGAAAGTTTGTCATCTTTTCTATACATTTTCTCTGACAGTGTTACAGCTAGCTAGCTGCATACGCAATTCAAATCTGATTTACAGGAGTTCCAAAAATAAACTCAATAATCAGGCAAGACAATGATCACATAGGAGGGCAAGACTGAACACCTGTACGCGGTGTCCTGTACAAACCTGGGAGTGAAATATTCTCCCAGAGCCAAGTTCAGTCAAATTTCGCAATACCGAACAAGTTGGCCCACGAGGCAATGATTCAAACTACTCCACCACGTCAAATCTTCACTTCCAGAGAGTCCGATTCCTACTTAAGCCTCATCAGGTCTACAAGTACGGCCTAGTACGTCTTCACTCCAATGACCACATCTCTCTTCAACCTTCTCTGGCCTCAGTTGACCACCAAATACACGCCCACGCCGATATTTATACCCGACGGAGGACACCAAGCGTGGCGCACAAATCTGGGAGACAGTTCTTTGGGATGGACGTGAGGGGGATCAGGACAAGTTGATAAGATGATGCAAAGGAAGGATATAACATCGAAGGGCGTGAAATTCCAAATTTTGGCAAGAGTTTTACAAATTGAGCTTTGTGCGCACCAAGACTTCGCTTGCGAGAGTGCAGGCGACACTATAAACATCGCCATGGTTGGAAGGTGCGGTGGTACATCGTCTTGGCCGGTCTGCCAATAAGAGTCTGGATAGCTTGGACACATATTCAATTCGAGACAGTAGATCGCTGGTTCAAATCCGGCAAAACACAACCACATTTCTCGCGGCGCTGGTATCCATGGATGACGAAGGCATGCTTGGATAACAAAAGGGATTGAAACGTCCTTTGGTGGGTACTTACGGAAGAGGGTTGACTGTTTGTGTAAGCAAGCATACCTCGTAGTGGTATTTGCGAATGAAATCCAGAGCATGAGTGTCTAACTTCAAAAGAGTCATCCTTCATGTATACATAGCACCAGTCATGTGTCATAGCTAGATATCTGAATACACATTAAATGATTTAAAAAAAAAAGATTACATATCATGTCAGGAAAGCTGTGAATATAGTATATTATTGAAAAATCCGATGAGAGATACACTTGATTCGATATTACGTTTGAATGAGATTTATGTACTGCTGTCACCAAGGGCTTGACCCTCAATATCCATAAGAACAGATATTGGCATAATTCAAAATTAAAGGTTCTCTAATTAATTTAGAATCTTTAGTTAGAATCACAAAGTCCTCCATTGTCTTAGACTTAGTAAGTATTATGATAAAATTCTAACATAATCTAATCTATATACTGCAATGAAGATCATGTGACCAGACTAGCTTAGCTTTGACTTTAATTATAAGTAATCCAAGTGCCCTGGGGTGGAAAGGTCAGGTCTAGATATAAAGAACTCGGAATCAGTCCTAGCTCAGGGATAACTCCAGAACTGAAAGGTTTAAATTGACGGACATTCGGAACGCTTATCGCAGCCCGTTCCGGACATGGAGATTTCGCCCTATATCATCGGCGTTTTGATAAAACCCACAAAGGGCTTGTCCCTCAATATCTGTAAGAACAAATTTTGGCATATTTCAAAATTTAATTTCTCAGATGTAATAAGAATCTGTAGTTAAATTCACAAAGTCCTCCATAGTCTTAGACTCAGTAGGGACTATAATAAAAATGTAATCTAATCTAATCGACGTTTCGCACACGAAGATGCTCTATTTACTTGCTCTTGTGGCGAAGAAAAAAGCCCAGATCACCTCTTCTTCTGCACTACTGGAAGAAACCTTGCCCGATATAAAATGGGTACTTCGCACGCCTAAAGGTGCCATCGCCTTCAGAAAATGGATCGAGCTAACGAAGCTCTACGACGAAATCCAAAGAGCCCATGAGATATTTCCAAGTGAAGATTTACGATCTGGTGTGGGATTATTGTTAGATGGAAGTATTTATTCTTATTTTCCTTTTCTGTTGTAAAGGTAAGAGCTTACGGAGGTTCATTGGCAGAAGGTTTACGGATGATTATCGATGAATCAATATGAACTGCTGATATGTTTGATATTCAGAACTATGAGGATTTAGGAGGTTTAAAGCGCTAATTATGTACACATCTGAGGTGGCTTGACTCTCGCCTCATTTACCCAAAATAGTATCACGGGATATTCTAGTCTCCTCCATCTGGCAGTACAATCTAGAAACACTTTCTATACAGTGCTCTATTGTTCCTCTACTCATCATGGAGCCACCTGGAAAGTTCTTCCTTCACCCTCAGTGATCATTACCCTCGTGCATCGTAATCCTAGCCATCACCAGCACAACATTTTCTGCGGGTGTAATTTCAAACTACTTGTAAAACAAAAGAAGTTACTGGAAGAGGGAAATTCGCTACGTTTAAATTGGAAAGCAAAGTGGCGGACAGCTGTTCTGTTCTGTTCATTTACGTGCTTGGTAAATGTCATCTATCGCACTCCTGTTGGAGCTCAAGCACGAGTGGAGCCGGGCCGGGCCGGATCAGGTTAACTACCGTGAATTACAGATATACTTCGTCCCACCGGAATGACCGGACCACCTCAGACTTCACTTATGTGTTGAAGCATACTAAGCCTCACCATCCAGAAACCCGCTGTATAAACGCCGTAGCGCAGACTCCGCCTCAACCTCGGCCACCACGCGCCCGAGCCCTTAACGCATCATTGCCTCCGAAATATAAATGTAGTCCTAGATCTCACCGTTGATCTAGCCTTGCACCTTCAAATCGTACCGTTGGGTTATTGTCGTCATTGAGGGTTTGTATGATCCCATCGGTGTATATTCCCTTTTTTTCTCCATTTTACACCTTCCGTTTCCATCATGACCTTCTTCATAGAGCGTGTGTAGGTAGGTGATTTGACGAGTATAGAGGTGGGTCGCAGGTGTGAGATCGGCTGAGATATGGATCGTCGCAAATATTTAAGGAGTTTGAGAGATGTCGGATGTTTGAATACGACTCCCTGATAGACCTATGTCCATTCGTGAATCGTTTGTTGGTGATGATGAATTTTTGTTCGACTTTCTTGCGGTTATGAAATCTCTGTCGACTGATTTTTCAACCAAAATACCGAGTACAACTCCTTCAAGGCGAAACCATCAAGAAAATTTATCCCACCCTTTTTCGTGATTGAATCTCGGCTTTGGAAGAATATTTCACTCCCAAGTTCGTAGAGGACACCACTTGCAGGTGTTCAGCCTTCGTCACCCGGGACGGCCGGCTGGTCGGACTCTCTTGTTGCTCCTATGTACTGAAGGGCGCGCTAGAGCGTGATTAAGGTCACGAACTGTGGACAGGCACGACTTTAAATTTAATCAAATTAAAAAATCAAATCAATCATCAAAGTGTCATAGAAAACATCTAGATCGATATTACGGGGGCATACAGTTCTACTAGCAGCAGGGTACCAGAACACGAGTCTTCGGTTCTCGCGATAGATATCTCCCTGAAAAAAAAAGGAGGATCCAACACCTCGAACTATCAGAAGGACAACCTGTCAAGAGAATGATACTATCTGCATGCAGTAAAATTAAGCAGACCACAAGGGGACCCCAGAACAGGCACGCCAAGAATCAAAAGCTAGACATTGTAGGATAGACCAGAATTTGTGGCATGGAGAGTGCGAAAGGGAGACATAAAGATGCTGGTAAGGTGGCCACTTTCCAGGGGTGGAAAAACTCATGGACACGTCCAGGGAACGAGAAACTATTTGGTCATCGAGCTTCAGCAGACCATGAACATTGGAAAGCCGCAAATATTGTTACAGATAAGACAACAGGCAGAAAAAGAATTACCTGTAGAAGTATACCCTCAAATATCCACCGGAACCTTAGCAGGGCCCAAAGCAGTATTGCAGCTTAAATAAGAAGTGAGCATATTGGTCTCAACTCTTATCTGTATCGAAGGAAAGGCCCTGGAGTGATTAGTCCAAGGTGTCAGTATGGATATCCGTCTCAAAATGTCAAACCTATGGTCTTGGCGTGTCCTCAGTGGGCAATGGGAAGAAGAGAGGTGCTTTGAAAGGCAAAAGATAGGTCATTTGCGGCAATGATGATCAGCCCAGATGATATTGAGAGAATCACAAAACAGATCCTGGCAAAAGGCTGGTTTGAACAATTACGGCTTGCAGGAGAAGAAGTAAAGGCAATGGACGAAAAGATTAGACGACTTGGACAAGGATAGGACGGAATTAACACTATATAAACAGTGTAAACGCAATTCCTGTAGAAAGCCTCAGAAAACCAACAGTCATGGGACAGACAGTTTTGGTGGGGTTTTACCAAATTTGGTCTCCTCCTGTGTAAATATTATAGCTAGATATACCTGCATCGGTCCATAGGGTACCTGATCGGGCTAAATGAAATCATCAAACCTAGATCAATATTTTTCTCTGCCTATTATTAATCCTAGCGTATTACATATGTATTGGTCGGTCAGGTAACGGGTTGGTTACCATATAGGTTGAGTTCAGAGTTGGTCTCATGTGACTTTGAGTTGTCGTATGAGTTGGGAGGAACCTTCAGTTCGGTTTTACCTAGAGTATAACTAGCTATTTTACTACTGATAAGTCTGGCATATGATGTTAATGTATCTTAATTACCTGTTGGAGACTATCTACTTATTCGAGCTACCTGTTTAGCCTAGCTCCTACCCGGTAGTACTTTCTATTTGAGGAGTCTCCTTAGATTAAGTTGTTATTTTCGACATGAGTAGGTGGAACACTACTCCTAGACAAATACTTTTGTTAATGACCCTGTTTTTTAAAGAATATAGGCTAAATCGATACAGGTACTTGATCTATTAAATTTCTGTAGATGAACTAGAAAGCTAATTATAGGTAAAAATTATGGTCAGAATAGTAGGCTTGATTACGTTTCGTTATTCCTCTCTACCATCACATTTCGGTTGAGATTTGACGCCAGACTCCCAAGATGTACATGTGCGCTCGCAAACCAAATTTTCCGAATTTCAATAACTCCCTGTAACCTCGAGGATTCTCAAAAATCCCTGTTAACTCGAAATTCTAAGTTTGTAACTCGCAACGCCATTGATACTGCATTTGGAATATCAATCATTAGTCTTGGTCACATTGTTAACTTTGCTTGATAATTTCAAACATCCAATTATATGTGACTACCGAGGGAGTCAAATTTCAAGCTGAAGATGCTTTCATGATCTTCTCGTCTCCTGGGAGTTATTTTCAGGACTTTGTCTATGTTTTAAGTCAGTCCATTGCGGATGATGAAATTGAACATATGGGCTCTGCAATATCCCAATTGCTGGCAGGATATGACCCATTGTTTTAAAAGAGGTTCCAGAAGTGGCATATGCTGGTGTGTTGTATGGGGAAATACCAGTCGTCATTTCGGCAACGCTTGGAAGCAAGGGTTGTCCCGCGCTCCGTCCAATGACGGCAACTACTGATAAATTAAGGCTTTCACCAGAACTTGGAATTGGAACGGAGCGTGGTGTAGATTCGCCACCAGATATCCTGCTCGTATTATTCCCGTTTGAAAGTTTGGATTCTTGCTTTTGGTTATGTTTATTGATCATTAATGTTTTAGAGCAGCTGGAAATAGGATCTTTCAAGTTTCCTGTCCCATGTGCGCTAGGCGATCGTGAATGTGAAATGGAGTGACGCGATCCCGAGGAGATAGAGTGGCTATGCGAATGTGAATGGCCACGATTTCCCGATGGGCGGTGATTATTGGAATTTGACTGAGCCGAATCTGCCATACTGGGAGATAATGAGAATGGAATAACTCCAGCACGTCTTGCCATTTCAGCCTCGCCTAATTGCCAGTGCATTGCCTCAGCTGCACGCCATGGAACTGCCATTTCTTCCGCTACTTTCGCCCAGATCTCTGGTTTGAATCTATTTGTAGAAGTTAGGTCCAAGTTACTGAGTATAATGACAGTAATGTTTGGTATGGGAAAATGTGAGGACTACCTCTCATAGAGCCTTGCTAGCTTATTTTTTCGTTCCTCATCCCATTCACTCCGGCGCTCGAGATAATTCTGATAGTGAAGTCGACAACTGATAGCACTCCTTCCCGGAAGGCACTTAGAAATGTCATCCCATTTCATTTGCTTCCCTCGAAGTTCAATGATGAGGGAATCCTCCTCAGGCGACCATTTACTTTGTTTTTTTGCTGGTGACTCAACAGCATGAGATGGTACACTTCGTTTTAAGCTGAAGTTCGGACGTGCATTCGTAAATGGGGACGCGGAATGACTACTAGAAGGAGCAGATGGGGAGCTAGATGGCGGGCTTTTGTTTGGTAAAGTTGGAGCCGACTCGGTTGAGTCCGTGGCCTTGAGTAGAAATGAGATATCCAGGTTGACGTCGGGAATGTGGCAAGCCGTCGTGGCGAGCATGTGATAGCAGTATGTGATTGTGGTAGGAAATAATGCGCGAGACTAAGTGATTCCTGATGTTGGATTGTCAGCAAGTAACGTAAGTATTCTTGTTAAGCTGAGATGACTCGATCTTTTTCCGGAAATTTTCCAGCTTTGTTTGAGACAAGATACGGGTATACTTCGAGATACGAAATTTGAAATTATCAACGCTTGAATACAATATGAACTTCCTCGCGGAAATCGGTGAAATCCTATGGAATGTTTGCCGTAGTTATTTTTATGGGGAATGATGTTCAATAGCCTCTGGAGATAGATCAAGGAATACCGGTATTTTGCACACCAAGGAGCTGAGAAAAAATTGAGGCACGACTAAGTTTAGAAGAATTCTGTTGATAACTCCTGACGAAGTGAATGAACAATTATGCAGTCAGTAGGCGGAAAGAAATGGATGAGGAAACATAGAAAAATGGATGCCTCTTTTCTTCGCTTCAGATAGAGGTTATTGCTTCGTAGAATGATACGTCCGGCAACATTGTGGGGAGAAACAGGACGTCTGAGGTCTGGCCTAAGGAGCACATATGAGACGAGAATGGACGGCAGATGTGATGCCGAGAAACAGCGGCAGGATACAGGACCGTCGTGGAAATGTGCCTGACACAGCGAGTTTGGTTGTCGGCGGCCAGGAGGTGACTCAAAGATGTGATCTACCCACTGGAACATGGTGTTAAGGATATTCATTCCTCGAGGGATGTACCGGGAAGCTGCGCGATGCCAATGATAAAGAATGTTAGTATCCATGGAGGGCAATCACCAAGGGGGGCATGAGGACGAACTGGGTGGGGATCATGTTCGCATGCATGAACCCAAGTAATGATGAACATGGAGGCATGTCACTTGATTGATCTAGCGGTGTTTTGTTTGGGGGTTGGAGACAAGGTGACAACGAGCATGTAGACTGAACAGGTTGGCGCGCGATGATTAATATTCTTGGTCTTTTTGAGGTACTGGATGCGGAGTTGAAAGAAACGAATGCTGAAAGAGGTTCATGATAGTCTTAAAGTCCTCTGAAACGCATTGCTGACATGGAAGATGAAACTCCCAGCTTAACATCTCCCCCTCATCTTCCTCCCGCCCGCCGCCGTCGCCCACTAATTCAGGGCATTCGTCTGTGCACAGCGAGCTCCGTATCACCTAACGCCATATGTCGGACCTCCCAGGTTGCTTTCTGCTTCTGGAGGTCTCCAGTACGAGACAATGTGTATTAGTCATGGGTTGAGAAAATTTGAAAACCAGTAACAAGCTAACTGCCTTACACTTGCATTTTCGAACACATTCGACACAACGGCAGCTAGTGTGTACAACGAGCACGTTGCTGGGCCGCCCGTTGCCACCGCGTTCTCTGGATATGCGTTTCCGACTGTCAGCAGCCCTCTAACAGCTGTGCCGCACTGCTCGTTGGCAAAACTACCAAGTCTTTCAGCGATTATCTTTCCGCCTTGTCGGCGAACTGGCGGTCAAGTAATCTAGGCAAGGGCTAGCTTTCCTCCCCGTTGCACACATCTCGCCGGGTACAGGGATGTGAACATCGCTGGTCTAAACTAGCCTGGAAGTTCCCAACGATTGCTGCTTCGTCGCCGTCGCAAATCATTCGAAAATCACACAGTTCCAGAAGGATAGAGGAGAGCCAGTTAAGCTAAATTGGCCTTTGCGCTCCGTTGTCCAGCAAGTTTCGATCGGACGAGGCAAGGACACTCTGCGCACTTTATACTAGTCAAGCAGGGCTTCTGCAATAAATTATAACATTTTCGTCTGCTGCCGCATCGAGAACTTCGTGATGATAATTTCATGTCTATCCACAAGTGATAAAATCCATTCATTCTGAGGCTACTAATGTTACCGACGTCTATCAATTGCAATTGAACTCTTAAACAAGGATCTCGCTGCTTCTTAATGCCTGAAACTAGCTCGGAATAAGAGAAAAGCTTGAGCACGCTCAAATCCGAAAACTCTCATCAGAGAAAAATCGCTTCGTACCTAGCTACTACATTCGGGCTTTAATCTCATCGTTTTGCAGGGAATTCTGGAAGTCTACATTCCTAAGCCCAGGCAACAGCATATACATCAGGGCATGACCCTTAATATATATTAGGAAAAATCAAGTTATAAAATCTGTAACCTATGAATAGTAGCCAGAATTTAGTTGAGAAATTCTAGAATTTATTCATAGACTTAGATTCAGAAGGGAATAGGATGCGATACTTATCCTAATATTACCAATAATATCTAACAAGGCACTTAGAGCTTGGGGCTTATATCGAGTTGAGTTTCGGCTCTAATTCGTCAGGTAATTAATCCAAAATTCTGATTTGCTTACACTGCATATCTAGGGTGAAAAATGAGAGATAAATTTAGGTGTTTAATAATTTAATAGCAATGTTTGTGCTCAGGGGTATCAAAGTTGGTATGAATGTGCTTGCCGTGAGCAGCCAGGACGACTACTCAGCTTGACCCTGCTACAATCCATATTTACGGCTGTTTGTGAATGCAAGGGTAATTACACCCGCAGCTAAATACCCAGGTGCCAAACGGCTGGATTCTTAGATAGGAGTCGTCTCATCAAGAGTCAGAATCTCTGACGAACTAAGTAAATCAAACTTAATGTACACATACCTAGCCCCGCCCAACTTGCATATTCGACTATTCACCAAAGTCGCAAATTTGATTGTCGTATCAATAGCCAATCCTATTTCACTTCAATATAACCTGCTTCGAAACATCATTTCCTCAAACAAATTTGCACTGCACCACCCATGAACCTGGCGATGACTCGCTAGATTTTATCTATGACAAAAAAATATGTTCCGACAAGACAACAAGATCGCCAAGGATATTATCGTGGCAACAAATGCTACGGTAAAGAAGTTTTTATTGGGAAAGGGAACCACAACATAGAGGAATCAAATACTTACCTAATATTAAGTAATTAAATATGGGCTTTACTAATGTTCATTCGCAGTATTCTGCACAAGGTTTTGGTCCCTTAGATTCTACCTGTAAGAATATAAGCCAAAATACGGAGAAAAAAATCGAACAACATAGACCCATTCAATTAGTTGATTATCTTCTCCAGTATCGCATCACATTATCAACCTAAAGGATCTCTTTACCATGCCCAATTGTATTTTCAACAGAAAGAACAATGGTAACAAAACCTCATCATGGTCCAGCTAAAGCTAGTTGGATAAGTCAGGATAATAATAAAGTAATCCGGAATCCGGACCTTTTTTTCACCGAAATATAGGGGTAAAAGCTATGGTGCCTCATGTTGGTTAACACAACAGCGCCTGATGGCATAATACAGGATGACGCAGTTTGAGGTAACAGTAAAACTTTATTTACTGTGTAACCCTTCACCCTTATAGTATTCTTGAGAGCCTCGTAAAAAATACGGTAGGGAGCTTGGAGAATGAAAATCTACTAGCAGCGCTATCTACAAAGCTAGGACAGAAATATTTTTCCAGAATTATGGATGGGTACCTATTGTGTGTGGATTCAGGAACTTTATTATAAAAAACAGTCGAGAATAGACATAATGACTCTTTTCTCATCGCAATCCCGAATTACAGAGATCTCAAGAACTAAGAGACCCATTTGAGTATCATCTCTGATACAGAAGCCAGACAGAGGGCAAAGAAAAGAGAACACAGTCCGAGTCAAATATACCCCTTGCCCCTAATGAAAAGGCACCTTTGTGTCCCGATACAGTCATAGACTCAATAAGATGATGAATAAACAGAAGCCAGATCGAAGGCAAAAAAATTAATCCAACCCAATCACCAATCAGAAATTTATTAACTCTTACTGATCTAACCCATTTATTTTCTATACTTAAAGACTTATCACTTGCTATCTATCAAAAAATGCAACAGATAAACTATGTCTCATCATCAATTTAAAGACCTCACAACTATTAAAATATGCACCTACTAAATCAATGAGACTTTAGATCGTGGAAAGCAAGTGATCACTTGACCCCTCACACTGAAATCTCCTCTTGGGACAAGATAATTAGATGTCTAAGAAAAAAATTAACCTACCTGCAATGAATGAGATAGATGAGAAACGAAGACTGAATATCTATTCGTGGTATCATCTATGCACATGGGTGTAAAAATTTCCCCCAGAGTCAAGTTAAGTTGCATTTTGCATTACAGAAGAAGTTAACCCACGAAGTAACGATCTAAGATTCCCCACCATCAAAGAAATGGATTTCAATAAAAGTCCCTTCAAGACTTACAGTGACATCTTGTATGTACTCATTTCAACGGCCACACTTCTCGTCATCTCAGTCTCTTGCCTTGAGCCGTCTTTAAACATACGCCCACGCTGATGTTCATGCTCGCTGGAGTGAGCAAATCGGGGCCCACTCATCTCGGAGGCAAAATTTCGGGACAGACGAGAGTGGTACTAGGACAGAAACGCGGGAGGATATCAAGGACATTAATAATCTTGGAAAAGAATTGAGTTTAACTATCTAAGGAGAACTTTTCGGATTGAGCAGCAAGATACGCACCACTTTAAAGATAATCATGGCTGGATGGTGCACTGGTATACCATTCTAATTGACACATCGGGTAGATTCCAGATAGCATGGACACCTATCTCATTCGAGACAGGATACTTTTGGCTCGAATCGAGCGAGACTCTTCCACAGGTCTGGTGGCTCTAGTGAACTCTGATCACCAAAAGTACTGAAAATTCCCATTGGTGGATATTCAAAAATGAAAATCGACCCTTCTACGAAAGTAGGCATACGTCAAAGTGGTATTTGCGAATTGAAGCCGGAGCATGAATGTGTTTGAAGTTAGAGGAGCCATTTAATGTGTACACGAATCGTAGCTCAAGTGTCATGGCTAGATATCTGTCCATATATGAAATAACAAAAAAGATGACGTTTAAGGTAAAAAGACTTACTGTCAGGCGCAGGTTCACTAGGCGCAGGACTCGAGGCGTAGGAG